GCACCCAAAGACAGCATTCAGTGCCGAGGTGTCCATGGGGCAGGGCCCGAGGGGAGACACAGGGGGAGCAGCAGGCCTGGTGCCCCCTGAGCCTGCCCCTAGCCCAGGTTTCAGCTCAGGAACTGATGCAGGGAGAGGATGGAGAGCTGCTGGAGAAGCAACGTCTGGGTGATCAAATGCCAGCTCCAGGAACTCACAGCCAGAGCAAAAACATCCTTGTTGTCTCCATCAGAGGTGCAGATGCTGTGCAGAGGCCAATCCTCCATCACACAGAGCAATGTTGGCAGCACTTTCTCTACTGTTGGTCCCGACGAGCCTATGGCTCTCCACATCATTTCAGCAGCTCTGTGGGATCAGAGCTCTGTGTCAGGGGTGTCTCAGTCACAGAGCCATGCCCTGTGTAGCTGTGGGGACCCAGGTGACAGAGCCCCAGTGCCCTGAAGGGCAGGGAGGGAGCACTGGCAGCAGCCTCAGGACACAGAGGGGCCCGAGGCTCCTGGACCTCTCTGCCTGTTGGGCAGAGCCCACTGGACAGGCTGTGCAGGGCCATGGGCCCTAAAGGCCGGTGAGCCCTGAGCTCTCAAGGCACGTGGGCCCCATACCTGTCACACGATGGGGCACAGTGCAGGAGGGTCAGCACCACATCAGCAGGGTGTTCTTCAGCCAGCCTTATAATGTCAATTTGCTGCCTGACATCCACAGTGACACAGGACACCAGACTCTGGTAAATGTTCCTCACAGTAGCTGGCACCTGGAGGAGGCATGGGGAAGACATGGAGTGCTGTCCAAGGCAGCAACTTCCCCAGCTTCCCCCAAGAAGTGCTTCCCTTCCTGCCACGCTCTGCTGGCCTTAAAGGCCGAGGGGGCCCTGTGGATGTGGCTGGAGGGAGCACAGGATCATGGGAGGCCTCCAGTTCTGGCCCCTGGCTGGGTACCTGCTGCTCAGAAGAAAAACAGTTGTCCTTGAAATTGTCCCTTATGAGCTCCTGACTCAGAGCAGGAGTGGGTGTGATGCCAGCATCTGCAATGCCCTGAGTCTCTCCAGCATCATCATTTGGAATAGCCACATCCTCAGTCACTGCCTTGTCAGAGTTTTCCCTCTCATCATTCACTGCAGCATCAGACTCTTGTGAGTGCTCAGCTGAATCCGGGCTGACATCAGGCTCTGCCTGGAGCTCGGTCAGCCTGCAGTCAGGCTCAGCTGTGTCCTCAGTTGCTGCTGTGGTGTTCCTTCTGTGCCGAATGCGCAGGAATTTGCGGAACCTCTGTGCAAGGAGAACAAAGGACTGGGAAGAGAGGCATGTTCCATGGAGTGCTCCAAGCTCCACTGCTGGGCTGAGCAGTGCCAGCAGGCCCAGCCCAGGTGGGGATGGCTGCAGGTACCTGCGCTGCTCTGTGGAAGCGGCCACGGGCAGGCTCCTGCTCTTGTGTCTGGTCCATGGCTGCATCTGGCAAAGAGCAGCCAAGGCTGAGGGGCTGCAGGAGAGGCCGGAGAACACAGCGCAGCCCTGCACTCTCCAGGCAGGGACAGCCCTGGGATGGCTCAGGGTATGGAGCACAGCCACTGCCAGGGGTCAGCCCCAATCCCTCTTGCGTCCTGTCCTTGGGCACGTTCACAGCGGATGGGATGGGATGGGATGGGATGGGATGGGATGGGGGCCTAGCTGGCTGCAGCCATCAGTCCTGTGGCCCAGTTCTGCCACTCACCATCCTGCAGTGGCTGGAACTGCTCCTGCTCTTCAGGAGGTTGTGCAGCTCCAGGGTCTGTGTTTCTGTTCCCCCTGAACACATTGAACAGCCTGAGGAATCTGCCTGCCATGACACAATCTGGCCTTGAGGGCACCTTCTAGAGAGATGCCTTGGGAAATCTCTGAGTCACCAAGTTGTGCTGTTGTGCCTGGAAGGCACCTGCGACAGAGAAGGCTCAGAAAGGCTACAGGACAGCAAGTCCTGCAGTCTGGTCTCGAGGGCTCCTGCCACAATGACTGGAGACTCCTCTTAAATGATACAGATGACCAAATACCACAAACTGGCCTGGATGGCACAGGCCACAGGGGTAGGAGATGCCTTGGGAAAACCACGGGTCAACAAGTCCCGCAGTCTTGCCCCGCAGGCACCTGCAAAAGAAAAGCCTCGGGAAAGCCACGGGCCACCAAGGCCCGCAGTCTTGCCACGAGGTCACCTGTACAAGTAAAGACTTGGAAAAGCTCCGGGTCCGACACAAACGAGTGCGCTGTGCGGGGGCTCCTCACAGCACCGCTCTGCCGCGTCCTGTCCCGTCGCGTGCACTGGGCACTGTGGCATGGCCCTGTCACCGCCAGCTCCTATGTCACCACATGTCACAAAGGGCCCTCTGACACCCTGTCCATTTCCATCCCATGGTGACCATGTGTCACAAAGGGCCCTTGCACACACTGCCACCTGCCCTTGGGCTGCCCCCATCCCCCCCAAAGTGGCCCAGGTTGGAAGGAATCCCTTGCCCAAAGTGTCTTAGACAGCCCAACAGGATCTTTAGGAATGCCTCAAACCATCAGCAAATGCTGCCCTGCTCTGCAGGCTCAGGGCAGCAGAAGGAGCCCCCAGGGCTGCCGACGCAGCCGCAGCAGGAAGGGCACGGGGCCTTGCACAGAATCTGCACAGGGGCCTGGCAGCACTGAAATCAGCAAGTGTGGCAGTGTCCCCACCAAGACAGACCTGCCACCCCAGCCAAGCCCTGGCAGTGCTGGTGCCCTTCTCCTGCCCCAGAGACCTGTGCCCCTGGGGGGTTTCTGTGCCAGAGGGCAGCCAAAGCCCACGTGCATTGGGGGCTGGGCTCCTTCCTGCAGGGGCTGTTGGCAGGAGCTCCTGGAGCTACTGCTGGCAATGCTTAGTCTTGGTCAGATTAATTACATGTGGGAATTATTTTCCCATTGATGTCATTCCCTGCAGCTATAAAACATCTTTGTGGGGAAGGCAGAGAAGGATCTGGCATTTAAGAATCCTCAATTCATGAGAGCTTCCCCATTGCTCAACTCAAGAATTTCCTACAAGTTGCAGACTTCAATTAATTGGAATGGCCAGAGAATGTGAAAGAGTTGCAAGTTTGCTTCCCATCTCAAAGCAGCAAGTCCTTTGCCTTAACATCATCCATTGAGAGTCACTTTACAAAATATAACACTACACAGAGGCTAAAAAAAGGCCATTCTTTCGTTTGCAAACCTTTGCTTTTCTATGGAGGGATGATAATATCCTAATTCTCTGAAAAATTAAAGCTCTCAAGGAATGAAAGTCCACTCAGTATTACAAAAGTAGTCCAAACGATTGAGTAGATTGCAAAAAGGCTAATCCTCCCCCTGGTACAGATATCTAGGTGGCCAGTAAATTACAGCTCTCCCCTCTTCTTTTTTTGCATGAGAAGCAGGACCACTAACAGGAAAAGTCACAGATATTCCTTATGTCCTCCATAACCAAAGCTGAGCCAAACCATGGATGCTCCCGTCAAACTGACTCAAATTCCAGCCTAAACCTCTCACTTCCAGACAACTTCTTCCCTAGCTCACCCACCAACACAAACAGCCCCAAAACACACTCACAGAACTCCTCAACACCCCACCAGGACCCTCAACTGTTCCCATCCCACCACAGAGCTTTCCCACCCTCCAGCAGACCCCCTGGTTCCCTGCACATGCCATGGGATGGCACTCAGCAGGATCTGCCCCAAGGCCTTCCACAGTAGCAAGCTCAGGCTGCCAGGCCACTGGTTCCTGGATCATCCTTCCCACTGACCCTTCCTGTGCACAGCTGTTACATTTACACATTTGAGCCAGCTTGGACTTCTCCCCCTAACCAGGATTGCTGGGAAAGGATGGAGAGCAGCCTGGCAAGCTCTTTCTCCAGCTCCCTCTTTACTCTTGGGGCAGCTAGAACATTGCACAGGAAAGCAACTGGTGCCACAAGGAGTGGGTGACATCAGGGGAGATCACTCAGGACTGCTAAATCCTGAGGGAACACCGCTGGGTTTGACCTTTGGGTACCTGCACAAACGTCAAGTCAGCTGCCTTAGTTTCCAGGACAGCTCTGTGTTGGCCAGCATCCTGACATGGATGCAGGACTGCTGCGAGGCACTGCTGGGACCCAGCAGGACAGGACTGGCTGTCTTGTTTACATGTTGAAAATGAGTTACATCATATTTAGCTAGAAATTCAGTGATCCCTGAATTTGATAAGGAGCTGGGCCATTATAAGCTAAGAAATTTCTTTGGATTCTGTATTTTAGCTATTTTTTAGCATTTAATTTTATCTCAATACAGCAAAGTAGAGGCACTTCTTTTGGTTTGGATTCTTTAGGGAATTGTTTCCCATCTGAAAGGAAGACTCTGTGAAGGGAGTGGTTGTCCAGGGGCAAAATACAGGTCATGAAGAAACAAGACGTGGCTGAGACCTCTTACATCCCACACTAAGGAGTCAGCCAAGGGAAAGGAGCATTTGGGAGTCATGCCTGGGGGAGGAGGGACAGGTGGTGGGGTTGTGGCTGTCTCTTAGCTGGGGGACACGGCTCAAAGGGCAAATGGTTGAGGTTTTGGTGTTGGACTGCTGCTGCCCCGAGGAACCACTGCTATTGCACAACTTTTCCATCACTGTGTCTGTTTACTGTGGGTGAGCCTCTGCTCACAAGTGTAGCCATGTAACTGGGTCCTTTCAATACCCGATCACTCTGGGAGGGATCCTCACCATCTGCTTGGGTGCCTCAGGGGAAAACCAGGACCCCAACCCCCTTTGAAAGGGAGCATCTCATGGCTGCTTGTGGGAGCCCAGCAGCTGCTGCTGTTGCCAGGGCATTACACAGGTGACAGCCAGGGGACACCCAAAACAATCCCCCCCTCCACCTTCTTTCTCCTTCCAGGCCTGCCCAGCCCCTGCTGTTTCTGCTGCTGATCCGGATTTTTATTCCACTTTTAGCTCCACATCTCTGGGTCTGCCCAGCCCCATGCTGCTCCTGCCGCAGCTTCGGGCTCATTGCTAAACTCTTTGCCACCCCAGGCCTGCACTCCTCTGCTGTTCCAGCCCGGCCCCTCGAGGCTCCTGCTATCGTCCATTTCACCAACTTTATATCACCACACATTCAGGTGCCAAAATGAGTGCAGTGGGTCGACCCTGGCTGGGTGCCAGGTGCCCACTCTGTCGCTCTGTCACTCTCTTTCCCACTGGGACAGGGAAGAGGATAGGACGGAGAACGGCCAGCGGGGTGAGATAAAGCACTTTTATTACAGTAAAATAAAGAAATAAGCAGAGATCTGTGCCTGCGTGGGCTGAAGAGTTCCCGCCCCGTGGCTGAGGGGACCGGCGGGGCGGGGCCGCCCGCGCCTGGGCGGGAAACGCCCCCTGCGGCCGGGAGCGGCGGCGGCGGCGGCGGCTGCGCAGTGGGGACGCGCCCGCCCCTCCCGGGTCCCTCAGGGAGCGCCCACGTCCCCTCAGCGGCCCTCGGGTACCTTCAGGGACCGGCATGTCTGCTCAGCCACACGCGGCATGCCCGTGTCCCCCTCAAGTGATGCCCACGTTCCCTCAGTGACTCCGATGTACCCTGAGAGACTCGACAGACACCCACCTCTGCACAGTGACCCCCATGTCACCTCAGTGCAATCCTGAGCACCTGCCACCCTCGGTGACCCTCATGGCCCCAGGGTGGCATGCAGGGCACCTTCATGCCTTTCAGAGACCTTCATGACACCTCAGCAACACGCGGGGCATCCGCCTTCCCTCAGCGATGCATGAGGCACTTATGTCAGGAAAATTAACCCACGAACGCCAGAGGTTTATATCCAAAAAGAAGACACAGGAGTCTTGTTACTTTATTTGAATAAAGGGAAAGGCCATGGGGCATTCCCCTGGGGTCTCTCAAATTTTTAGTGGACGCAGACTCCTTTCTTTCCTAATTTCCTGGCCGCATTTCCCACTCTCTTTACCCATTGGTGGAGGTATTTGAGAGGTACAGGCTTCCCAAATCACCTAATACAGACCCCCTTCTAATGCATACCCCCCATTTTTCTTATCCTATGGATATGATGGTTCCACACATTGCTTCTTCCATCTCTCAGTTCCTAGCTTTACCCACAGTTTGTTTGTAAAGAGAAATCTCTCCCATTCCTTTCAACTGGATACCTCTTCTGAGAACCTAGTATCAACTCAGTGACTCACATGTCCCCTCAGCATCACTTGCAGCACCCACCTTTCCCTCAGTAACCCACATATCCCGTCAGCAAATCCAGGGCCACCAGCCATCCCCTCAGTAACTCACTCACCCTGAGTACAGCCCCAGGGGCCAGCAGCAGGCAGAAAGCCGCAGGGGCTGGGGAAAAAGCTCTGCCCTGCTTACAGTGTGGGCTGAGGGCCAGGAGAGCTGCATGAGGGCCAGGAGAGCTGCATTTCCACCCTGAGGTTTTGGAGACAGGAGCTTTCACCCTCCTTATAGGGCTGCCCCTCTCTCCAGACAGCCAAAGGAGCACAATGGCAAAAGGCCAGCAACAGCAAAGCAGAGACCCAGCCCTGCACACAGGGAGGTCGCCCAGCACAAA